CTAGTTACCTTGGGTTTTCATGTATTTTGCCACTGTCATCTTCATCTTTAACTTTTTGATAGTCACTATCAATTTTTTCAGGGTCCCAGGTAGGGTCATCATCATCATCATGCTAGGTAGTGCTATTGACATCAGTTGCGTCTTCATCAAAATCTTCGTCCTGTTCAGTTGGTTGATCCATAGACTTTGTTGGGCTAGTATCCTCTGTTTCAACAACTGGCTCGGTTTGGACAGCTTAAATGTTACAAAAAATTTTATAATATAAATGAGAAATTAGAAAAACCAGAAAATCAGTGTAGTGTGCCTGAAAAAAGGTAATTTCCTGGAAATTAAATTTTGTCTGATTAATCAGTTTAATTTTTGACCGGACACCTGTAATCTTACCAGTATTGACCATAAAAAGACGATTCTGCTCTTGAATCCCTTTGAATGTTTGAACCCACTGCTCTTGGTTGGAGGAAAGTTTGTTCTTAAACTGGGTCACCTTAGCTTTCAGCTGAGTCAATTCTGCTTTCATTGCCCTGCATGATTCACATGGAGTTATCTGAAAAAAAAAAAAATGATAATTTACATGACTACAGATCCAAACATGAGATGGAGAGAGGGGTGATAAGTTCAGATACAATACATATAAAATTGTCTCTTTAGGAAATCACTCTTACTAGTCCATCATCAGCCACCAGTATCACCTCTTTGTCCTGAACTTCCTCGTCAGCCACCTGTGCCAATAACACCCCATCTGCCTGAACCTCATCAGTTCGCTGTATCACCTCTGCCTGAGCTCCATCATCAGCCACCAGCATTAACTCCTCGTCCTGAACCCCCTCATCAGTCACCTGTGTCACCTCTGCCCAAGCCTCATCCGCCTCAGTGGTCTGAACGCACCCAACAGCTTGCAACCCTAAGTCACCTTGCAGTTCATCATTCACCTGTATCACCTGATTTTCCTCTAATACAACTGCTTCTGGCCCTATATTTGCATCTTGACTCTGTTCTCTCATAATCTCATTCAATAACTGTCAGGCAAAAGAGTATGAAGAAATCAACAGATGAAAACCTATTACATCAACTGAAATACGAGTGGAAATTTTTTTTTTTTGGGTAAGAGAGTTCATGCTCAATAAGCCTCAGCCACATGTGCACATTGAAAAAAATTACAATTTCAAATAAAAACATTCTGTGCAGATCAATTAGAAGTTTGAGCGATATACTGAGAGAACATTAGGACCATTAGATTAGAATCTTGAAAAAATATCAGTAGTAGTTACATGGTAATGCGGTGTCACTGTGGAACATTTTCGAAAGCGAATTATGAATATTATGAATGATACAGAAGTTTAATTGCTAAGCAAATTAGACACAAGCAGCAGTTCTAAGAAACAGTTACCCCATTCACTCAAAGAATGTCCATTGAAATAGAGAAATTATCGCACGTTTAGCAGTAAACCCGTGAAAAAGTTGTTTGCTAGCTGGTAATTTTTCACAACTGGATCTTAGGTATTTGCTGGTCTTTTGCTTTCCCTCCAGGACTGAGACTTAATTTTCCGCTTAAAGACTGTAATTCTCAACCTTAAACTACTACATAAAAGAAAACAAAAGCGAAGGAAAACATCAAGACCACTAAACTTTAGGATTAACACAACGAAAATGTGAGACCTGTGAAATTTACATTCGCTACCTCGAAAGTGCTGAAAGTTTGTTGCGCATCAATGAAATATCGGTAAATGAAGATCAGCGTCGATGAAATACAAAGCACTCAGACTTCTATAGAATTTGTTTCAATTGTTGTCAAACGAGTTAAAAAGAGGGTGTTTGTTATTCAAGAAAAATACCATAAAAGTGACAGTCCTGTACTCGTACTGTTCGCGAAAAAAAAATCCACCAATATAACTCACCCGATGACGAGTTCTTTCACTGAGAAAAACAGATCCTTTTTTCCAAATACTTGGGACGGATCCTGGCTTTAGTCGTCTCTCTGTCCCTTTTATCTGTACCGAACGAGTGAAGCAGTCGTCGGTAAACTGAAGTGAGCAAATCCCAAATGTCCCATTGGGCTTAAAATGCTTTCTATGCTGGCTGACGAATCTTTTCCACATGGCACGCTCGGTTCCTGTACCAGGAGAGGTATGAACAGATATTCCTAACTGTTTGTCGGCCACCCTGTCGCAATCTTGCACGACACAACGGCTTGGAGGCATTCTGCTCGCAAATTATGCTTTCCAAATACGTCTCACTTTTCCGCAGACATAGTATACAAAATTACCCACGTTGGTTTGTCGAGCTGCGCAATGACGTCACCTCCGAAAGGCTCCAACTAGTGCCACCTCTTTTGGCCACACTCGGCCATTTTTGAATTGGGTAATGGCGGGCGACCAAAACCGAAAAACAAGGTTGAAATAATCATACTTTCCGTGCGAATTTTGCGATTAAACTTGGCATGGTAAGTGTTCTTACTTCTAGTTACCAGAAGTAGAAAGAAAAGGCAATGCGAAATTTTGATCATAGTGGCACTTTAAAACAAAAAGAAAAGTTTTAAAACGACCTCCTCAAGACAAAAAAGCCATCATTTTGAAGATTCCTTTTATATTTTTATTTTGATAGTCATTGAAAAACCCTTAAGTGCGTTTTCTTCCAACTTGACACGCGAGATGCTGCGCTGTGACCCAAAGTCAGAGCCCCAATTTTCACTGTTTGGTACCACTGGCAAAACAATAGGACGGAAAACAGTACACCTTTTGCAGTTCATTACCAGAAAATCTACTTTCATTTATGCCAAAAGTTATATCAATAGCGTAAATAAATTTTTCATTACCTCTACAATACATTTTATTAGTGTTGAAGTTAAAGTACTTATATGCTATTTATACCAGAATGAAATGTACCACCAAATTCGCCCGCGCGTGATCAGTGTGTTATTCGGAAGCTTACTATGCCCATCATGAGATTAAAACATACTTAACCGACCAAACAGGTAGTTTAACGGCGACAAGAGTTTGTTTTTCTAAGACAATTATTCTCAATAACAAATTTGATACGTTTCAGTTAATTTGGTTTGTCTAGCCGTGATAACATCCCGTGTGTCGAAAGCAGACATTTCCGGAAATTTATTTTCAGACTTTTGCGTATACCAAATATGGAAGCTGTATCAAAGGGCACGCAGAGTAGCAGTAGTATCTAAGCATCATTTATTTTATATATCATCTGAAGCAAACTTGAAATGATATACTATTCTGTCGAATCAATTGGTATCATTACTGGAGTATGAGTCAGGTTGGAATATGCCGATTGAAGCTGCCTTCGATAACGTCCGAGAAGTGTCGAAGAGTTCAAATGCGCCGGCCATATTTAATGCAAGATACACTAAACTGCCAATTTTAAAATTCTTCTATAATGGTCAAGTCGGAACTAATGGGAATGTACCATGTTTGATTCTAGCAAAGGCTATAGTTCCCTCAGTGCAATGCTTGCAATGGATATGGTAAAAGACGCTGCCACATTTGACATCTGCAGGCGACGACAGTCGGTTTGTGGTCAACGATATTACATAAATTCAAACTCTTCGCTCTCCTTATCTGGTAGCACCGTTCTCTAAATGTCTACAGAGGTTTCTCCTGGGTTCGCCGTTATTCAGTCCTCAGATTTAATGTGTTGGTAGAATGTGCTGAGGACTGGAGAACATGTAGCCTGCGAACAGGCTCCCCGTTCAATCAGACGTGCTCCTCCAAGCCGGGAGCCTGTTCGCAGGCTAGAGAACATGTTTCAAGTGAGTGCATGAATTTTAGTTCTATTTATCATGAGACAAAAATTGCTCGGAGGATTTTATTTGCAGTTCTGCCTCATGTTCGGCTAATTTAGTGTTTCCAGTATTTTTTCTAAGCCGTTTTCTCCAAATTGTCGTGTTATATCCAGAGAGAACATCGATTTTTTTCTGATTTTTTTCTCATAAGCCTCCCAAATGGTGTAATCAATTAATTTACCTTCAGCTAATATATTTCCGGCTACGTTGTTTGTTTTGAATAAAATTTAAAAATCAATTGTAACTGTTTGCTTAGATAACAACTCAAGAAAAATGATGTTCAGTTTCCTTTATTTTCAAGGGTCTGCCTAAGATCTTGACCTCTTTAAGTATCTCTGTTTGTTCGACTTCATGCTGTTAAAATGTAACGTCTATACCGCGCTGTTTGCGTTGAACCTTCCGCAGCTGTCACAACTGTAGACATAGAGCAATATACGCTCCTGTGCCTTTCTTGTTTGAAGATTGTCTCCACCGCCCTCTCCAAACAACTAGACCTAAGTTTACCAAAATGTTTCTGATTAAGTTAGCAAACTTAACAAGAAACGAAGTAACATGTTGTATAAAAGGGGCGATAGCTGTCTCGCTGAGTTCTACACAATCCTGCCAATTCTCAGTTCGATGACGATAACATGCCTAGTCATAACATGTTCCCGCAGCTTACTGGTATTGTTTTTTGCCCATCGTTGAACATCGTCTTCATCTCACTCTATATCAAAATCGCTCGTAATCTTTTTCTTTTCCCTTAAAGCAAAGTGTATCTTTGGACGCGGACACTGAATTGCCAATTTAACCGAAATAATGGATAATGAATTCACTTCCATAAAGTTGTTTACATCGGTTACTCAGTTTCCGGTGCTTCACACGATTTGAGTCACCCGACCAACACAATTCGCTGTGGGGCCTCTGTGACACATACCACCCCGTGCGTAAACACTCCAAATTGGTGGGGCTTGTTTTATCACCGGTTATCCTTTCAATATATATTGGCATTATAGATTTTTTATCTAGTTGTTATCAATAGTGGTTCCCAAGTTATAAAACTAAGCAATAGCACATCACAATCATCACATCACATCACATCACAGGTCAAGTCTACGAAGCTCGACGCAAATATATTTGAACTGTGACGATGAAGAGTTCAAGCAAACAGCTTAAGACATTGGTAAAATATTCTGTGATTCATGAAATACGAGCCAGTTTTTAAATGCCGTTTCATGGTTGGAAGCATCTCATCGGGAAGTTTGCTTTCAGCGTTAGTTCACATCAAATAAAAAACACCAATTTTTCATATATAAAACTCTCGTAAAATGAGATCGAGGAAAGCTAACTTGTGAGAGCTGAGGGAGTTGCAAATTTTTATTCTAAGGAGTTAATAACAAACAAAACAAGCCTCCTTCGTTGCTCGTCGCGTGCACTTTACCTTGTAGTCCGTGTCCCACATTTTGGAAAAAGAAATTGACCATGTTCAGCATGCAATGCGTCTCCATCAGTCACAACGTATCGTTCGGTTTCCAAGTGTGGATCATAAGTATGAACGCTGCTGCCCTCATTTCCCTCTCATTGAAAATTCATCTCTTCCGTGAGTGCGAAAATGAATCGATGCGAGAGAAAGGTTGCGAGTGGAATGCAGTTGTTGGAGCAATGACCGCAACAGAGGCATGTATTAATCTATCTCGGGCGGTCGTTCAGCGTCACTTTATACTTGATGAATATTTCCTGAATTGGCCAATTAGATTACGACATTACTGTATTTGATGACCTAAGGGTCAGGGAAACCCCCTGAAATTAAAGAAAAGATTGAAGTTCAGTGCAGGTGCGTGTTTTTTCCAAAATGGAAATTGGAAACTGTTTGGGAGGCTTGGCGCGTCTTCGTCCAAACGGAAAATGGAAAATGTTTCTGCTGTCTAGTGCGTCTTTTCAAGACAAGACAAGACAAGACAAGACAAGACAAGACAAGACAAGACAGCTTTATTTAGCCAGGGTGGCCTAATCAGCTGCGAGGCTGGTATCCTTAGGGGCCCTGGTCCTACATAGAAATGGAAAATGGAACAGTGTTTCTGCGGTGTAGTGCCTCTTGCCTAGACGAAAGTGGCTTTCAGAATAAATCTATTTTGGACAAGAGTAAATATTTCGGTCGTTGTTACGCTCCGGGAAGTCACAAGTACAGTCTTTCAAATTTCGGAAAAGCATCCAGTAACCTCGAATAACAGCCGTTCACCGCATTAGGCATTAGGACATTAGGCTCCCTCGAACCTTACGCTTCTAGATCTGGACCGAAATTGTTTCAGTTTCAACAAAATTTGGAGGCAATAAGTTTGATTTACACTAACGATATGATACATAGGTTTTTTTTTTTTTTTTCATTTCTGATAAGGCGTAATACTCAAGGTTTGTTTCTACCCGACTTACCTCTACATCACTCTTTGTTTAAGATGTCACTACGGCGACGAGTGCAAAAAACGTTGCCGATAACATGTGAAGGTAAACTTGAGTTCAAAGAAAAAACCTCACTGGAGTGATATCGAGACCTGCAAATAAGATGACGTTAAACTTGTTGATTTCACGTTTTTGAACGGCTTAAAATATACAAAGTTTCATTAAAACTGCACGTGATGCGCTGTTGTTTTGCCCAGCAGATCTTTTGTTTTTCTAAGCCGGTTTTCATCTCGGCCGTCGCCTTTCGTAGTTTTCTAAAGTACCTAACGACCTCTAAAATTAAAATTGAAAATGTTCATGTTTCTGTTATCAAGGATGATCATTTTCTCTTGCAAATTTTGATGCGTTTCTGGTAGTGGAAATAGTTTTGGCCTGATAGTGGAAACATTTGAAAATGTTTCATTAGGTTTGAAAGTCGTAGTAACATCCTGTGTGCCTTATCTTTCGCCGAACCAAGCATTTCTGGAAATTTATTGTCCCAAATTTATGGATACAATACCAAATATGGAAGCAGTAACTAAAGGTAAGCTGAGCAACAGTACCTAAACATTATTTCATATGTCAACAGAAGCTAGCTTGAAATCATTCACCAGTTCACCGGCGATTCAACTCGGCAAGTTTTTACTTCTTAAGTGAGACAGTTTCGAGTGACGCAAATTGAAGCCGTCTTCGATAATGTCGGAGAGGTATCGAAGAGCTCAAGTGCGCTGGTCATATTTACGGCAAGATACACTAATTAAACTACGAATTAATTCTTCTATAATCGTCAAATCTGAACTGCTGCGAACGTATTATGTTCGATTCTAGCAAAGGCTTTAGTTTCCTTAATGTAATGCATATAATGGATATAGCAAAGACGCTGCCCATTGACCCATTGTGGGTCACAACTGTTAGATTTTTCCTAATTTTGGTTTCCCTGTTCTACGTAGAAGCTAGTGTCACGAGACCTGTTTTCCATATTTGGTATTGTACACGAAGTTTTCTGCTTTTCGATTAAAAACAGTTCTTCCGCCATCTTGATCTGGTTACTGTGTTCCTGGCCTTTTATTCGGAATACACAACAACAACAGTCGGTTCGTAGACGACAATAATATGACCTCAAATCTCGTTCGTTCTCCAATCTGGTGGCACCGTTTTCGAGATGTCTTCAGACTTACCTCCTCTGTTGGCCGTTATTCAGCCTTCAGGTTTAACTTCTGTACATTGTGTTGAGAACTGGGGAACATATTTAAAGTAAGTGAATGAATTTCACTTTTATTTGTCATGGTACAAAAATTGTTTGGATGAATTTGTAACATCCTGTTTAGAAGGGGCGATAGTTGACTCATTTCCGTGCAATCCTACAAATTCTGAGTGACCTTCGTTCGATGACGATAACATGCCGAGTCACAACATTTTCCCACTGCCTTGTGATAATTATTTTTGTCAGCGACAAAACTTCTCACTTTAAAATCACTGGAAAAGGCCATTCTCGTCTTTTAAAATTACAATATCATCTATTCAATCTTTTTCCAAAGCTAGAAAACTTTACGGTACAAATCGAAATGGCGGTAGAACTCATCTAAGTCTTAAGTAAGCAATTGCGCCACGCACGTCGTAATACAAACTTCACATGATTGAAGCGGCCTAACCTGAACTGTTGGTTGAATTCGTCTGCTTGAACAAATTAAATAAATTTATGAGTCTAGGCACTGTCTATTCCTTGCCTATGCACTGGTAGGGATGATCTGTCTAGAATTCAGACTTGATACGTAATCTGAAAGGGCCTTACCCCTAGGTAACTTTTGAAATTTGTGCACTTAAATTGAAAAGCTGGTATCAATATGATAATTATCCGTTTTCATATAGAAAGAGGCGCCCTGTATGTGAGGTGAAACTGACTTAACCTTGGACACTTTCGTGACAGTTCCAGCCATTGGTCAACTATACGACACACGGCTCCATACACACCCATACATCAAGAGATATAAGCCAATCAAAAACTACACAAGAACCTAATTGTTATCAATCACGTCCCCTGCAGGCCCCCAGACTGCATGAAATAAGAATAATTAAGCAAAAGTTTACATTCACCGATCGTTGGAGATGGCCATCGCTGAAGTAGAATTTAAAGTATCCTAAGCAAATAAGCCTCTTGTATATAAGGTGATCGCTAAATGTTCTGTCTCTTCGTATAATTTCACCAATTTCTATTCCAAGAAATAATGATAAACAAAACAAGCCTTCCTTGCTGCTCGTCGGGTGCGCTTTACAAAAGACCATGAAAACAAACAACCTTATAAAATAACTACCAACAAAAAAGAAACGGAATATGCAACTTCGTAAAATTTTATTTGAATGTGATTTCTCTACACTTCTAAACAAAGGACTAAGGCGGATAATCCACGAAAAAATTCAGAGATGAATAGTGTACGAGGATAGGTCGCAGTAAACAGATAAACGAACAGGTAAAACATTCGAAACTGTGCGCGAAAAGCTTGTGAAACCATTGACCAAGACAGCGCTGCACATACCTTGTAACATGAAGTTTCATCTGATCTACAGTTAACTCACCATTTCCATCTGAGCTGGTAGATTTAGTATTTGGTGAACTCATGTTAGATATATACTTGTAGAGGGTTTCGTTTGTGACATTCCTGCGTTCCTTCAATAATACCTTTCTCTCGTTCAATCTGCAAGAAATTGACAATGAGAAATGGAGCAATTCTTTTATTAGGGCGGCTATATATTACGTGCTGGAGATCTGATTGGTCAGAGCTGAGTAGTTTCGAGGCAACCGAGTATTCTCAGGGCACGAGACGAAAACTTTGTATTTACTCAATTATTAAAGCCCAATACGTTACCTCAATGTTTTGTTACCTCAATGTTTTGTTTCTGTTTCGTTACGGTATTTTACTCCGCGCACAAACGCGTCACAAGACAGATAGAGAAATTGTATTGCTGTTTTATGCGCATGTATATCATTAAATGTGTTATAAGCGACAATGTTTTCCTGTAATTTTACGTCATTGCTGTGACGTTGAAGGGCAAAATATTAGACATAACGATGTAATTATAACAATTTGTGTTATGCCTATTAACCCCACGACTATCAGATCGAATAATGGAGCAACATGAATTTGCTTCTTTTTGAATCATTACTCATCCTTTCCATCGAAACTTTTTCTTCTAAACAAAACGATTAACTTTCATCTGGGATGAGGAATCAGCTCGCTTTTAAGTGATTATTTTAAATAATCTTTTGGGTTGGCTGATTTTGCCCACTTGAGCGGACCCACCAAATTCGAGTAAACAAAATACAATTAAGTGACCCATTTAGATAAAACTGCGTCGGTCAAACTGAGCTAACCAATCAAATTGAAATAAACTAAAAATCGGGGAAATCCCTTCGTAGATGAACTAATGTCTCGCTGTCGCCATGAGGTGATAATCAAAGGGGTCCGCTAACGGACTAGGAGTTTCATTTTAACTCAGTAGCCTTTTGTCTCTCGATGATCGGCTCAGATAAGAACGATGGAAACGATTTTAATTGGTAGTTCGCTTTCAGTTAATCTGTGCTACTTATCAGAGAGGGACATTCAAACCGAATATTAAGGACATATTTACAGCTGGAAATCGAAGCCCTGCGAAACAATTAACTTCGTCGTTCAGATTCTTCAATACAAGTGGGGTGGAATCAAGTGGTTGGAATTTTCGTTTATGACTCTTTGAGAACAGTGGTTGATTTTTGTTTTCATAAACATCAAGATCGTCGCTGAAAAATGTCGTTTGAGATCAGGAGAGTGAACACAAATCTTGCCGTCTGGAAAATCAGATGCCATCTTCATAGTACATAAAACCTTTAGTGGCGTTCAGTCATTCACTCTCGAAGAATTCAAAATTCATCTCGGTTTTTGTTTTTTGTATGTTCTTTTTCCCAGGGAATGAAAAACTTCGTCAATATGGCTACACGGGTGACAAAGTCTGTGACTGTCACGAAAAGTTCAACACATTGAATTTCACGCGATTTTTTTCAGCGATGTAGTAGCTGTCGCCATCGCAGCACTCGCGCGAGGGTGGCTACACGGGTTATTTGCACTGCGCACTGGCGACGCGACAAGTTTAGAAAAAATCGCATCACCATCGCAAGCAAAAAATCGCTCTTGTAGCTGCGGCTTAACATTGGGGGATCTGGAACCGGGCCAAATGTCAATTTTACCGAATGAGTTTAATTCACACAAGTTTCATTCTTGACCATTCACACTGATTCAAATTTCATTTTATTTCATCACTCTTTGTCAGTCTCAGTTGCGACATTCTGTGTCTTGACCGACCCTTCCTGAGTAGCAAGTGACCTTGAACGAAAAGTAACTCCCTCCTCCTCCCCAGGGTAAGATTTGACATAAACGCGCCCTCGCCAAATATTCAAATTTCGCGCTTGTGCAGTAATCGGCTATGTTCCAATTTACCCGGTGAATTTCGCTATTGTAATGGTAGCGAGTTTGAATTTCCCTTGTGAATTAATAAGTCATTGTTTGGCTCTAAAGCTATTGTTTCAAGATATCCTTTTTATGGCCATATTTGAGATACTAAACAAATGTCTTTGAATTTGATCAGCTTTTCTTGATACGTTTTGTTTTTATAAGCAGTTTGGCTCAAGAATCATTTATGCTAAGAATCGGCACAGATGAAAATAACACCATGGATTAAACTGCAAATATCTCTCTTCCTTCTTTTTGCCTCACCAAACCTGAGAATCCGATAACGAAGCAGAAGCGGTGATTTATATGGCACATTTTCTCAGCATATCGTTTGGCGACCAGTAACAGAAAGCACAATTCCAACATTAAGGAATTTTTTTTTATTTGAAATTTTGATATTAAATTCTGCTCGTGTAGAGAAAATTACATTCAGCTGATGGTCGCGCAATGCGTGAAAACTCGAGTTACAACTCTCCGTCTCTACTCTGCTCGGCATAAGTGAAAAAATACATGTTCAATAATTCAAAGTTGGTATGCCTTTTCTGAAAGGTATCAGTCTGAATATCAGGAGCATTAGTTTTGTCGGATTTTCTATTCTGTACTAACCATCACTCTATTTTACAAGTGTTATACCTAACTCAGTTGTCTTAGAAGCATACTCTAATGAAGAACTGCTTTGGCTACTTAGAAAACCCCTTACTAAATTAGGAAACAATGTCGTAATTATTTGTTTTGGAAAAATATGACTTTAAAATATATTCACAACGAGACCCGTTTTAAGCAAAATTAGGAGCATATTCTGTAGGAAGCCTGTATCCACTTTTCTTTCTTATGTTCTTGAATTTTATATACATAATTATTGTAAAACGAACCAGCATTTAGCAGACGCCTTTAAAAAGGGAATGCCGCCATTAAATTAAGTCCTTTTGTCTTCTAAAAAACTTCCATCTAAGCTTTAAAAGGCTACAGCTTCAAGCCGGTACAATAGAAATCCTACACACTTCGCGAATAATGTGCAGTTGTAATATTGTGCTAAAGTCGCTATGTAAATTTTCCTACGGTGTATTGAAGCAATTTTTTTTAAAAGGCACGTTAATTAGTTGCTTTAGATCATATCCTAACTTATCACGACGCTCCTAACTAGAAGCTGTATGAGGGTAGCAAAGTAGGGGTCCTGATCCCGTTTCAGGCACGAAAATAGGAATAAATGATTCACCCCTCACGTGTACTCAAAGCAATATTTCAGACGTCGCGAGTTTTAAAGTCACCTTACCATGCCTTTCTGCAAAATTCACGCGTCACGAATTAATTTTCGACTTGATCAAATGTCACGTCTCCTTTGCCACCCTCCTGTATGAAACCCACGGTACACATCTATTAAGCTGGCACAAGATTGTGTTTCAATTGTGTATACAGAATAGGATGTATAGTTACAACGAATAGCGTATCATGGTTGAAAACTTCTTGGGACTCACTTAGTTAAATAACTTGAGATACCGAGAAAGCCCAGAAGGCAGTTAGCCATCACTAGCGACAATTTGCGTAAGGAAGTCTTCTCCATAAACTACACAAACTTTTCTCTCCAAATTCTTAGAAACACTATGGATATGAAACCTTTCGTTTTGGTTTCTTCATTTGGTTGAAAATTCAATTTTCAAAAACAGTTCATCGTTTTTGACAAATTGAGGACCGAAGAACAGCTGGATCCTTGCAAAGTAAATGAAGCCATATCCCAAGGGGCAAATGGCTTCCCGAGGCCTTTGAAATGCAGCTAAGGTTGGTTTAGCTTGTAAAGTGTTGCTGATGTCGTTGTGTCTGTGTCCACTTCTATCCAAAACTGACAAAGTAATTCTTCCAGTGTAAGGCCAGGATAAGAAGTCATCGTGTTCACCCTCCATAATGTGAACAAAGATGGCGACATGCCTGCCTCTTCCTTCACCAACTCCATTGGGATACATCCTTACCCCAAACTTATATTCGAAGCTATCGGAGTCAATGGCGGAACTGAAAACGGCTGGTATAAATCCATCGTCACCGGTCTAACAATGTTAAAATCAAGTAAGAATGAAAGGAAACAAACAAAACTGGCAAGAAATGTTACAATAAAAGGTATTGCATCTTCCTGCTCGATTACCCCATGCTCGATAAAAACTGTTGTGACATATTAGAAAGAAAGAGATAGCCAACCTGGCGAAGCTGTCCAACCTCCGTATACTTCACTATGAAATAAGTTTCCCGAGGATTTTTTTTGTTCCTTGCGGCTTTTTGTGAAGCAGACCTGTAAACAAACCACCAAAGACTGTAGGCTAAACGAAACAGATCCCATTTTCTTTTTATACGTGACATAAAAACTCGTGACTAAAAACATTTTAGTAAAGTGACTTTGATACCATAAATATATAAGTAAGGCAGCCTTTCCTTATTTTAACGGCTGGCTATACAAACCGGACTATTCCGGGATCTTTAATAAAACCAAAAAAATCCTGGTGAGTTTTTCTCTCAAATGTGACTAGGTTTAACAGCCAGGTTAAGCTAATCACTTGCGTCAAAATAAGTTTTTAGCGCGAATGACAGAGAATTCTCCGTTATCGTATTTATTATTGAAACGTTTGCCGATCCTTGCAATCTGATTTGTTATTTGTTCTTATCCAATAATTCTTTCGATGACTCCCATAGTTTCGTATGCTGGCAATTTTCAGTGAACACTACAGCAACAAAATCCATGTTCTGATTTCAGTTTTTACTATAGTGCAAGTTATTCACAAATAGCACCTTTCTTGTTTGTTTTTTTGTTTTTTTTTAACAAAATGTTGGCAGTTAACAAAATGGAAACCTACTTTCGCGATTTCAAAATGGATGTATGTTAAGGGGAATTTCAACTCGTATCGAGTAATTTTTCTCCAAGATCGTAATGTAGGGGCATCGTACTGAAGCGCAAATCACGGATGTGGTTCCAGTCTAGAAAGCGCTCCTCTTAAGTTAACGGCCTTTAATGGTAGTGATTCAACTGATGTAATACTTGCCTATCAATTTGTCCTTTCCATAATCGTATTTCTCGGCGTTCACAGGCATGCTCAATAGGCTGTTCGATCTGACCCAAAGAGCTCACTACATTAACGGAGCCATCATCACGAGGCTGTTGACAAGCAAGCAAGCCGGAAGGTTCACTTGGCCGTCTTGCAGCTGGCTGTTCCGTCTCCTGCAAGGGATGACTCAGGGCACAACCCTGATCGCACGTAACTGACTCACGCAATCTGCACAGTTCCGTCTCCTGAATAGGTACATTTAACCCATTGATCTGTATACCACCTTCCTGCTGGGGAAATGGCTGATGTTCCGGTCTCTCCCTCCTGACATCCTGTTCAACGTGATCCTCTTGAAGGAGAGCATTTCTATCTCTTCCATCACAGATAGAATGGCCCGAAGAATCATCATTATCCATTTGAAAAGACTTTCGGGCATGTGCACTCGCTGTCAAACCTGTGATAGAATCCTTCTCCTGGACAGGGCAAGATCCTTCACTAGTGCCGACCAGTTGATCGCCATGGATGGAAGTAGACATTTCCCCACTTTCTGAAGTATGTCGTCGACCATCTACTAACTGGTAAGCTCCAGGTTGTTCTAAATCATTCCTCCTACGACCGGCAGTTCGCTCGGGCTCATCGTTGTTGTGAGTTGAACCTTCATCGAAAGCCACATTCTCCGTAGACGGCTCAGTTGGGTTGCTACGTCCACGCGTTTGGCTGGTGACATGACCCTGACTGACAACTGTAAACTGGAGAGAGAAAGAAAAAACAATCTTCTTCATAATATTTCTGAATCTACAATCAAAATAAATTTTCTTTCGAAACAGCTCTTGCGGAAATGGTGCATAACGAATAAACTCAAAGTTTTCTCTCGTTTGCTCTTGTACCTTTTACTCAGGTTTCTTCAGCAAACTGAATACAAATCTTCGCAGACACAGTGTCACAGCGTCTTCCCAGACTACCACAAATAATAGACCGAACTCGACATTTGTTTTGTCTGAACTTACCTCAGAATATGACATTTCGGCATCCCTTGCAGAACTTCTTGAATCATTAGTTCTTGAAAAGAAAGTAAATAGATAGTAAATGAATATTGTAATAAAGACCTTGTAACTCGGCTTTACTGTATGCTGTAACTCTATACGGACATTATTCTAAATTTTATAGAACGAGTCACTAACATGGCAGAATGGTTTTCCATGGCTTTCAATTTATGCATATATAAGAAGGGTAATAGGGCTACGTTGTGTTTGGCCTTTACTGGGTCTTAACCATTTCCTTAAGATTGCAAAATTTTCCTATTGACGGATAAATGCGTGCATGAGTAAGGGGTAGTGACCGCTGACCGGAAGGAATGGTGTTGCTGTGGCCGCATGAGTACTGTTTCAAAAATGTCCATTGTCACCTCAAGTAGCAGCTCGGTAAATCTTCAAACTTTCAAAAGCACTCTTTTGAGCCTCCCCTCTGTCTTTTGCATAAACCAGCGTTACAAGGCTGAGTGATTTCTTCGTGCAAATAAGTGATATGTGTTAGATCGTCTCCTATTTTGTTTAAAGAGAAGCTACTTCCGTTTGCATTACATTTGTATTCTATATTAAGTGCATTTTACAATTCCTATATTCCTTGGTGAAAGCAATAGTCCACTACGAATAAGTATGACTGACTATGAGCGGGTCCAAGCTCTTCTTGCATATAGACTTTTCAACGCAACGGTATTAATCTCAATATTCGTTCTACAGGCTCAAAAAGCTACTTCAAAATCGACTTGAAATAGTACACTAACTCAAAAGAGCAGAATAAAGAGTTTTTTTTTTTTTACCTTGCATTGAGACTTCCCGTCTGATCTGAGTTTAGCTCTTCAGCCTCCTGGGAGCTGTAAGAAATTGGGAAACTCGTTATTGATTCGGTTTGGACAAAACTAAGATAATCCTGGGCTCTCCCTCTTGATCACAAAAGAAAGGAGAAGATACTGATATAAGAAGAGAGTTTACGCTCCGTGATAAACAATTATAACACGTACTCCTATTTGTCTGTATCAAGAGATTTGACGATGAATAACGCGGCAGTTCTCGCACTGCGAGAGTTTTCAGTCAAAAATAAACAGGCAAAGTTATTAAACATAACTTGTGGCCTGAAAAAATGACCGGAGATTCCAAATGAGACGTAAAACTAGACGGATAACTGCGTGAACTCGGGCTTCTTTCGTTTGAAGTTGTTGTGAAATATGATAGTTAAAATTTTTGAAGAATAATTAAGTCATGATAGCCTGGCAGCACCCAAGTTACTCGAGTTGAGAAGAATTTTGTTGTTGGCAAACTAAGAAAACCGTGGATACTTATATTCCTGTGTTATTTGTAAGAAAACCGTGGATACTTATATTCCTGTGTTATTTGTAATGATCTTGTTTGAAGAGAATGCAAGATATTGGTGAAACTTGAGAAATATTTTGTATTATTGAGTTGTGTGAAACAAATATTCCATACATAGGTGTTCATGATTTTCTTAGTTTGACTTTAGTATGTGTATTATTTTCTTGCACCTTGACTTTCTTTAAATAGCAAGAGGGACTACATATATTTTGACCTTTTTGTGGGTTTAACATACACGTCTTACAAAAAACTGAAAACCACATCGAAAACCCCGTGCATTCACTACTACATTTTACAAGATTTTCGAGAATTGATTTGCTGTCAACTGAATCAGTCAATATTCCTTCACTGTTATCACTTTTAAGATCTAAACTTACTTCAGTTCCACAAACATCAACAGTTTTTGGCAAATCATTTGATGGTAAATACTTGTTCAAATATGAATTTTCATATAATCTTTTGCCATGTTGTATAACATGAGATAAGGTCAGTTTGAATTCCAATAACTACATGACTTTATTTCAGAGTAACAGAGTGAATAGACAGTCACAGCACAACTCACATTGAACTTTCTGGTTTCACAGGCATTACTCTGATAAAGGGTGGTATTTTGAACTTTATTAATTTTAACCCATTTCAACTCAAATATGTCATTGTTATGTTTACTCTGAAAATAATGTATTAAGCCATACAGTGATGATACTTCAAGCAGCACATATGAATCTTGAGGATTGCTTCTACCATACATGAATATCCCTTGCATGAGAATCAAATATTTTGAAGCTCACATTGCCTTTACAATAGATAGCAACTGTAGTACGTCCTATTGTCACGACAAATTGTTGAAATTCTCCGATATAAGTGGTTGAAAGGTTCTATCTAAGGAGGTACAGTACTGGTATCCTTCTATTGTAGTTTCTTCATGAATAGTACCGATTTATAAACGTAGCTCTCACTGTATTGAAGTTCATAATCAGTCTCCAACACATTTGAAAGTGGGCAATTCTGTCTGCATTAGAAATGATTATCTGGTTAACTGAGACAAACATGAATACAAGTGATTTCCAAGACACATTATTGAAACGAGATCATTAGCAGAGTTGTTCCTTGTTTGTTATTGTACATCAAAGAGCATAAACTCATTGCAACACATTGTTGTCCTGAATTTTGTCCAAATATCAGTTTATTAGCGTGGCTATCTGGTGCCATTATTGTTTTGCGAGGGTCAATGTACATTGGAGTAGGACCAGGATTTTTCCGGCTCAACATCTGAACTCAGTTGAAATTTACCATAGTTTGATGCGGGTGTCTGACTCTTATAAAGACACAAGGGTCTATTAATTACAAGAAAACATAGATAAATACTACCTTGCTCTATACTTCAATTTTATCATCCTTCGATATACCCTCACTGAGCAATTCAACAAATACTTCTTATCATGTTTTGGAACTTTATTTAATCTTACCCTCTTCATTTTAAGCTTACAAATATTCTTTATAACTCTTCAGTCTAACCTTCACATAACGACGTAACCAAGACAACTTCGGTATGCTTGGACGAATACGCTCATAAACAAATTCCTTCAGTTTTCTGCCCTTTCTTCTGAGGCGTTTCAGAGTAGCTTTTGGTATTCTACTGGGTTCTCGATCACGTCTAAATACACTGTTGTGTTTACATGTAAGCATAATATGACATAACTCGTTTAATGTGGCTAGTTTGGCTAGATATTTCTCGATAAAAGGTTCACGCGTAAAGGATCGCTCGTAAATTGATCTCTCGTAAAGTTTGCAGAACGACTCGTTTCCAAATCGGTCCACAAGTTTTAGTGCGGTTCTACGACGAACGTTGTGTGACTTTGAATATACATTGGGCGTAATAACCGAATTTCTTTCGGGTAAATCAAGCAAGAAATTGTCCACGAAGGCAGCCATTGCTTTCTTGCGCTCTTGAGTTCATTCTACGCATGCGCTTGCATTTTACGCATGCGCTGTAGGGGAACTGCGTTTTGCAACTGAACGCAAAAAAAATAAATAAACAACAAAGCCCAATTTATAGCTCAGGCGTTTCCTTCGGAAGCCCGAGTAACAACTATCTTGGGGAGGGGGGGAGGTATTGAATGTGTATCATTCTTGAAGACGTTTAAGTCTCCCTAGTTTCGAATTTTATTATCCCTGTATTGTAATAATGACATTTGTCTTTTTGTTTACAAGTCACGCAATCTATTCAGCCATAATGGTATTGCGGAAGCGATAGGGCATTAATATTCAATCTTGAGGTGTCATGTGACGTTGCTGTTAGTGACTCTTGTCGACATCACGGTCTACATTCGGGAAAATCTAAGGGGGCATGATTCTACCAATCACATTTACAGCTTGAGAACCTTTGTATTTTGTTAAATACTCGCTGATATTGAAATCCGCCTAAGCCCTTTAAGAACATTCTCAACGTAGACGCTTGAATAGTTTCTCTTGACCGTATCTCACTCCTCTAGGAATCTAACGTTCTAACAAGGGAGTTTAGTTCGGTTAAGCTAAATTGAACGGGCGGTCTTAGCCTTCACCTCTCGCGTGGGATTTTTTCTTCTTTTTGGAGCAGATCTATTTTCTTTGAAAGGTCTGGTGAAGAGATTTAAGGTAGGTGCATCCATCTTTCATATGCGTATGTATCGATATATGTATTCATTACTGTGCTTTCAACTCTCTTTTTGAATTGTGAATTTTAACTTTTGAGCGTCAGTTGGGATTGATCTCGAGAAATATCGTTCATTTAATGTAATTATTTTTGGTAGAATCCTTTCTTGTGGTGAGATATGAATTCGATTTCGCATTTATAAAACGCAATGAAGCAGAGCCATAGATAGATTTATTCGATCATTCATATAACAGCGTAAACATGAAGTAGAATAACTACTTTGCTCAGCATTTCTGAGAATTCTAACCTATTTATGAAAAGAATTGACGAGCACTGTGGCCTTTAAGACCTTGACTGTAATGCTAGCGACGAAGAGTTTATGCTATCGTTAGAAGCGTTGTGCGACCACTGCAACTTTCGCTTTTCTAATGAAACTTATCTTCTATCTGTAAAGATACAAAATGATGAAATACTGGAAAGGTTTGCGTCTGATCTTGACCTCTTAAAAGATCGTAATATTTGCTCGTATTCATGAGTGGTGGAGGCTATGATAAATAAGGGATAACAAGATTACGTCTCGTGGACCTTTCAGCAATATAAACATGAACCACTGTTCGCTATGTACAAAATATTTTTACTGAATCCTTTTGACAATCGAGTAATTGTAGCAAAATCTGTGCTATCAAATTAACAACTCAGCCAAAGGAAGTAAGTTGAACAAGACACGACCACTCAATTTCACTGGAAGAACCAGTTTTTCACATCTATCAAGATAAATAAATATGAACTGCCTTGTATCTATACTTTATACGTGTATATTTATCTTACCCATTCTTAGTTACTTTTAGCTCAGCGATTTTGACCCACATTGTAGTGTAGTCAATAATCCTAATAGCTTAAGTTTGTTAAAAATTATGAAACGCACGAAGGGTTGCAGAGCTTTGAACTTCACAATGAGAAGTTCCATGCATAATCCACAAAGATCAAGTTATCTATATGTTCTCTCTGCATTAGTAAATTACACTGCCTCGGCGGAAAATACTAAACGTGAAACTTCAGGCAAAACGGATTCAAAATAGTTAGCTCAGCTAAGACATTCTCAGCATAGAAAATTTCTACCTTGTGAATATTTTAATTTACTGTACTTTTGCGTACCCGGGTCTTTCGCTGCCATGAGTCTTCGCTTTTTTATTTTAATTCAACTAAGAAGTAGAACATGTCAGACTCTAAATTCAAATGTTCTGAATATTTACCTTAATAATTTTGTGAAGGATCAGTAAGCTGCGAAATGACCAATATCAAAGTCACAAGAGCGGTGTAGTTTAATATACCACTGATATTATGGACCTGTTAAATGATTCAGTTCAGTTCCAATGTATGTCTGACCACTTCCTATATAAGCACTGGACTTATATTAAGATACTTTTCATCTAAGTTGTTTTGTAGCGCGGAGTTTCAGAGGATGACATCCTCCATGTAGAGAACCACGAAATGTTTCATTATATTTTTTACTCAACTCGTATTCTATCGTTTACTCGTGAACTGAGGCCTCTTACATGCATAAGATCTTAATGCCTGTTAGATATGGTAGAGTTAAGTTGATGCTAAAACCGGACTGACACATGTCGGTTCCTCTAGCTTAAGAGTGATGAATTCTCTTCTTT